GAGTAGTCATGAAAATAATAATGCTGACAAAACGCTTAAGTTCACATTTATCTGTATCCTTAAACTTTGAGCGGGTGTTCAGACGGAACTGTTTGGCATAGGACCTTCAAATCTCAAAAAGCTTCAATAGGTACTGCTCAAAAAATTGAGCCCAACTTGAAATATGACCTGCCAAGCCAGGTCATACGACCCGTCAACACAGGTTGTGGAATTTTGCAATGGTCCTCTAGGTCTGAATTTACTTTTGATGAAAAATAGGGACCCTCTATTGGTAGTGCGTTTGTTCACACAGAATTTTGTCATTTGGTGAAGTATTACAAAATGAATAACAGCAAATATTATGTTTAGCATTTAGTTTAAGTCTTTTTTCTTTCATTTGTTATGTTTGTATGTTATACAGGTATACAAATGTATCAAGAAACAGCACACATAACGATTTATTCTTTTAGTAAATAGGTATGCAATATATCCAGGGTGACAATGAAATACGAAATGGCAAAGGGTGATTGCTCTTCTCATAAACGCCTATAAACGTGAGTCCGAAAATGATTCGTTTTCAGTTTTTGGGGTACAAACAAGCAAATGTGTAATTTTTGGTAATACTAATTCTCGATCATGTTGTGATGCAGGGAAATCTGCTTTATCCATCCGTTAAATTGTGACGATATAAGATTATGTTGCTTGAAATCAGTGACAATATCGGCTCATACCTATTAATACTCTGCTAATGACACGTTTACAGGAAAAAAATATGTCACGCTCCTTCGCTAAGAGTATTTCCACAAAGAAGTGATTTACAAGAAACCGATTTTTCCTATACCGGCTTCTAACTCAATTATCAATTGACGAACTTTAAGTGCTCTTTTCGCCTGGAATTTCTCTCACATCTGTAAGCAGGGTCGGATCTCATATACTGAGTGACAAAAAAAGGTAAACAACTACGTAGTAGTTTATTATCATTCAAGAATTTTTACATACCGATTTATCTTGCCATGAACAACAAGTGATAAAATGGCCAGATTTTTCTGTTGAGGTTTTGTGATGGCTGCGTGTATTGTTTGATGATAAAGAAGCATTCAATTTTCGAATATTTATGGTGTCAGTTAAATGCTAAATTTCCTGTAGCTTATTGAGAAGCATTTTTGTGATTGCTCAAAATGCCTAGAGTGCGTAGGCTTCGCCAGGTGTCCCAGCTAAGAGACTTTGAGAGGAGTCGAATTCACAATGCCAGACCATATGTTGCCAGAGCATCGTGAGTCCTCATGGATCAACATCGCATCAACCGTTTAACTTGCCACCACGATCGCCTGATCTATCTCCAATTGAGCATGTCTGGGGCATGATGGGCCGCAGGCGCTTGAACTTGTAACACCGTCCACAGTTTTTAGCAGCTCTTACTCACGATGTTGCAGTAGCAGCGAATGAGATACCCCAACAGGATATCGACCACATTATCAGCACGATGCTCAGGCGTGTCAATGAGTGTATAAGGAATCGTGGATCCTCAACACATTATAGAACCAGCTTCTGCAGTCGGTTGACGAATCAAGCTGAAAATCAAATTATTTTATTAGCAAGGGACACTGAAAATATATGCCAAAAATTATCAAAATCGAATAATCATACGTAGGTGTTTACCTTTTTTTGTCACTCAGTATACAATCTGCCTAAATTCATATTGAAGCGTTTCAACGTAAGTAATATACCATGATCTAATGCATATGTGAAAAAGTGTACATACCTAGTAGCGATACGCTGAATAAATAAATAAATTTGAGAGAAAATAAGTAATAACACGAAAAGATCAAAACATCATGCTACGTTACTCATAATCCAGTCAAATATAAATTAGGTTTGCAAAAACTTCCACAAAGCTGAAAATTGGTACAGATCTTGGATACACCACTATGAATAATATATCAAAACTCCTCATATATCCTTGAAGCGGAACCTTGGTTTATTTGGGTAGAAATATCAAATATATCACGTTTGTCATATTTTTCTAAAAGGGAAAGAGATACCAAAAAAATAATTAATTAAAAAATTGCAGAGGATATTATCTATAAAAGTTGGTCAAGTGAGTGACCGTTTTTGAGATTCAATGATCTGCGGACTCTCAGATACTCTTCTGCTCTTACATACAGCATGTATATTGTGTAAGCGACCGACCGTTTGATACGAACATATATGTGCAAGCATTGATGTATGCGACTTATACTAAAATGCACACCACATGTATAGGGTGTGTAGAAAAAGTATCAGTGATTTTTCTGGAAATGCATTCTATTAGTAACCAATAATAAACCAAATAATAGTATCAATCCGTACCATTCAAACACATCCTAGTCTGCTTAAGGTACGCTCAAAGGGAAATCGTATTTTTAAATAACCCTTTCATATATATTTTTTTCTGTAAAAGTATGAGTAACCACAAAAATAGCTTGTACCAAAATAAACCAAATAATAGTATCAATCCGTACCATTCAAACACATCCTAGTCCGCTTAAGGTACGCTCAAAGGGAAATCGTATTTTTAAATAACCCTTTCATATATATTTTTTTCTGTAAAAGTATAAGTAACCACAAAAATAGCTTGTACCAAAATTGTAGAGGATTGCCCAATTGATTTGTTATGAGTTGCTGTTTATGCGATGTTTGAATTATAGGAACTAAGATACTGCTACGGCGCATACGCAGCATGTCTTATCATTATCGATTGTTTGATATGAATTGAGATATGAAAGAAGTGAAATATGCGACAAGTAATAATATTTACATACTATATATACCTATCAGTTTTATAGGGTGTTTGAAAAATATTCCAATGTATACATAATAAGGTTAATGAATATTCAACAATTTTTTGCTCATATATTATTGTCAATCACAAATTATGATTATCTGGAAACAACAAATATGTCGGTTCGACCACTGCTGTTGGTATTTAGCGGATTATTAAAAGAACCGTTAGCAGATATGTCCAGGCAGATATTGAACTCAAATAAAACAGGCTTCCGTTCCAAGGATATATGAGGAGTTTAGATATATTATACATAATGGTGTGTTTACGGAGTGTACCAATCCTCAGCTTTGTGGAAGTTTCAGCAGTTTCTTTGTTTTACTACCGGCGTTCACGTGACATCGCTCCCGAAATATGAAAAACAGTTCGCTGACGTCTCAAAGATACCATGTTATTTGTCGCCTAAGAGACAGATACATCAATGTTAATGGCAAACATAGCATTTTGATCACATTCACATTTGGGCAGGATAAGAGAGATTCATCAGCGAGACATCGACTAATCGTAGCTGGTATGTAAATAATTCTAGCTCTTTTAAATTTCCCTGTAACCGCCCCTGTCGGTTGAGGTTCCAGAGCCTTCTAAAACCTTCGGGAGCTATTAAGGCTTTAAATTAAACATCACATTTTTTGCTTTCTAAACACTTCCATTACGGATTTTCTTAGGGTGCGAAAAATCCTGATTGACGCATTATATCCCTTTAAGAGAATATGCTGATGGAAAATTTACCGTGATATGAGCAGACTTTAGTAAGTTCCTACCCAACGCATGATATTAGGAGAGTCACGTAGTTAACTTACAAAACAGATACTATCTGCTGTAGAGTAGCGCAGAAGGATACGTATAGCAAAAATTCTCAAAATCCGCAGTGACCTTACAATTGACTTCCCAAACAATGGTTGGTGGATCTGGCTAGTGCAGCTCTTACATTTGGATCAAGATCTCGGATACCCGTTATGCTGTGGAAGAGGTTTTCCGCCAAATAAATTTTGAGGTAGAGTATTGAAAGATGGCACTTCGACATTTGCCATGGCCCTACAAGGACAATTCAAGACTTTGCTGATTTTCAAAATTATTGTTGCTCACTTGAAAAGCAAATCTGCAGCTTCAACATTTAAGCCATCAATCTATTAATGCGATCTAACAATCTGTTTAGTCAGTTCCATACGATGTTTTGATAACAAGCACAAAGCGGATTAGTTATACAGAGGTTTCTATACTGAAGCTTCATATATGCGCGATAATCGTTTTGATTGGATTATTACACATACAATACAAAAGCGTTTCCGCAGAGAATTCAAGGTCGTTGAAGCACTTTCAGAAAGCTACCGTTTGATTAAAGGTTTTTATCGACGAGGTCATCATTTTATGCTTGGAAAACGCATCTGCAAAGATAGCAAATGGATTTTATTGTTTTTTTTTTCATTTTCGATTTGGACCACTAAGTATATTAGAAATACGATCGGAACAAGATTTGTAATACCAAACCTGTATTATGTGGTTTTAACCAGTATTAATTTTCTATTCTATTTATATGTACTATATTTAGGTAATGTAATGAAGGATTTAGTATTTTTTTTCGCAAAGCTTCAAACCGAAAACGCAAATCGTTATTCTTTCAGTTTAATTCATACTTCTGCAACAAAAATATATTTTGTCGTCAACATCCGGGAAAAGAAATTAGATACGACAACTGGCTCTTATCATGTTAAAACTATAACGGAAGATAAATTGATTAAGCTTTTTCAAACATTTGGAAACACTTTTCGTGAACTTTACATCCTTGCACTAGCCACGAACGTGGTAACATTTTTATCATTTCACTCCACAGAAGCTAACTCTTCAGTTCTGCTTTATATTTTCCACATTCAAATGAATATTTGTAAATACAGAATTAACTGACTATAGAGGTATTGCTGCACAGATTCTTAAGGAGGTACTAGTGTGACAGCCGTAAGCTACATTCCCCCCAACCACTGACAGGAAAAATACGTAGACCTCAATTGTTCCAATTGCAAGTAGGTAACTACCTTGATGTGTGAAAAAGAGCGCAATTAGATTTTGTGCATACGATGATCGGGTGGTGTTTTTGGTTCCAGCTTTCCTCTTGGATTAATGTAACTAATAAAAGATACTCATCCCAGTATCTTTCGGAGTTTGGCTCTTGTCACACCTATTTTATTTCGTTATGTTGTTGCAGATGGAGGAACAAACCGACTCAGCCAGTACCAGTTCAACACGAAAATGTATAACAGCTATTCTTTGTGGTAGAACTAGTTTGTTTGTGCTTATGACGGGATATGCGTTGTTCGGTGCACTGATCTTCAAAACCATTGAAGGAGGTGATGAAGAAAATCCACCTGTGGACTTTCAGAAGAGCAGGGAAGACTGCTTGAAGGAACTCTGGCTTATAACAGGTGAGTAAGAGTATTGCATAATGTTCAACAAATTTGATAGTCTCAACAGTTGGAAGTAACGGAAAAGTTAGGCGTATTCACACAACCAGCACTCACTGTAATCGGTCAGTATTTATCATGAAATGTGACATTTATTGACCGTGAAGGCTGGACGCCAATAACTGCTGCTGCATAAAGTTATGTAAAAATCCCCTTAATCGGTACAGATCGTATGACAATCGCTTGCCTCCAAATGTTTCCCCAAACAGAAAGGCACTCTTTTCAAATTACAATAAGACCTTGCTTAGTGGATAACTTCAAAGTTTCCGCATCCAAGTAGGTACTTTTCACAAGTAATGAACGGACCCGCTCATTCGATAGGTTGTTATGCCTATAAAAGTAACCATCCGCATCAAGCAGTAACATAGTATGTATAACGACCTCCTAAATTCTCAGGTAACATCGGAACTTCAATTCGACCATTTTTTGAAACCTCCCTTCCAACTGTCAAGATTGTCAGAGCGAATGAGAGCTTCTTAGGCCTTCAATGCGGGAATTACTACAAACATTTTCGTCATGTATAAACAATACCATAAAAGTGTGGAATTATCGCAAAGTTCCAGCAAAAGCTTCACGTTACCTAGACGACGGGAAATTTTCTGTGAAAATTGCCGATAAGGTATCGAAATTTTTTTTATAGGTCCGTATCTATAGTTACGATTGATAAAATGTACATTTTTTCTGTGACGATGAAAAAGTTTGCCTTTTTGACAGGTAACAAGATGTCACTTACTATGAAATTACTTTTTTCGCCGGGAAAAAAATTTGTATTTTCTTGGCGGATATTGTATAAACACATAAGCAAAGGTAGATATTTAATTTCAGACTATTTTTCAGTAACTACAAATCTCCTGTTTTCACCATTCTTTGTTTACTCAAGTTTCACAATTAATAATCCCGAATCTTCAATATCATCTAATGTTATACAAATTCGACATGCTCCTGCAATCCCAAATACAACAACAACCTTGGCAACTAAATAAACTTCATCGGGAGCATTATTTAAAAAATCAGTGGTTTGTGTACTCGGTTTGTAAATCGCAGCTTTCTTGGACTTGTAACCTTTCCCATTTTGTTTCAGAGATGTAATTAGTTTGAAATATTTTGAAATGTCTACATTATTATTGGATCGTAACATACCTTTAATCATTGAAAAATTCGACCACACTGTTGATGGATTTTGCTAATGTGCCAATTCCAAAAAATAAGCCAATAATACCGTCTCCGACAAAGAACTGCATGTTTTTTTCATCTTCCATTCCATGAGTCTTGAATACGCGGTTTCGTAAGTTGTCCGCGATTTAGCTGGCAATAATTTTTGTGACTCTACTTTGGCTACTTCTACTAATTTTGTTGGAGTCAAAGAAAACTAGGAATCAGACTTTTTTTCTTTATAGTATTAAAAATAACTTCTAAACAACCATTAAGTTCGCAATGTTTAAATCAAATCACAAAATTAAATTGACAGCTATTTGATTATCTTAAAAGTTCCCTTAGCAACGCAGGTCTGACTGTCGCTATAAGTACAACATAGCCTACTAATTTCAAAATTCGAATTTCACATCGATAATTTTCTAACTTAAATATTGTAATAATATAATTTTTCAATATAAGATCGTTGTTTTGTATTATACACAGGAAAAATACTAGATCTTAGCTTGAGGTTGTATTATCTCTCTTGTCTAATAAATAACTAGTGCCATCTTGACATGCATAAATATTGTACCCTGGGATAATTGAGCCGGACATAACCAAGACAGATGAAATGCTTTATTGAATACTGTCGAATTACAGAGCTTCGCCTATAAAGTGAAGTAATTTAAGGTAAATTAAAAGTTGCTGAATCAAATGAAATGGCCTTTAGCACCCTGTGTCTCAATAACAACGCCGTCAAATACATGGAGTTGTTTGGTATACAAAGAAAGTAGGTAAAAAAATTGTTGAATTATAAGAGGGCACAAAATTAATATGTACACTTTATTTTAGACGCATTCTACTAAAAACCCAATTTTCATATTTTACGTTTAACGTTACTTCCTTTATAGTTGAACAACGACCATGTCTTAAGGCCCTGTCCTCGAGAGTATCGTGCATCTATAGGGAGATATAACGAAAAGGGGGAACTTCACAGGGACTATAGTGATTTGACATCAGGCCCACCTAAGTGCTCCGCCTGGTGGTACCTCATCGTTTGACCGCGCTGTGGCTCTACTCCACTAGTTAGTATATCCTGAAAATATTTCCATGATTTAGCGAGAGTCTAACTTCAAAATCTGAGCTATAAGATGATAATATATCATGTCCATCGTTAGTAACCGACGTTATCTACCTCTGGTAGCTTCTCTATTGTGCCGCTCTAATTATATTCTACCAGCTTCTGTACAAACACCGACGGAAGTGTCACATTTCTTTCGAGGTAATTTCCAGCTCTAGCAAGGTACGCTGTTTTTCCACAGATCTTATTCGCATCAAATGCTCATGTTTTTGCATCTGCATCCGGCAGACATTCTGCAGCACCAGTAGTGCAAGGAGCTACCGCCCTTTTTGCAATTAACCTCGTTGTGCACTGGCTTAGCAAAACACATTTCACCAGAACATTGCTCACACCAGGTACGTACATGGATGTCTTGCTTTTTGTGTGAATTATCGTGCGATTGAACAACTACGAAGTTAGCCTGTAGCTATGTTTTGGCGGTAAGGGGTCATTCAGGTATTACAGAAAAAGAATTTTCGTAATATCTAACCCCGGCACGGGTACTTCGTAACTTGAAAAGTGACATTTCGTCGGTTTTTTTAGACATTTCGTAGGTTTTTTTTCACATTCGGTAGGTTTTTCTACAAGATGTTAACTACACTTGTTGTGAACTCGTTTTGTAGCTAAGTGTCGCTTACACGTCAGCGAACAGCGAATATAGTAAGCAAGCGTGGAATAAACTATTTGCGCACTAAAAATTACCTAGTCTGCAAGATTACATTTCTCCGTTTTTCTAAGTTTTTTAGGTTTTTACGTAATACCCGTGCCGGTCCCACTTGCTAGCGTAAGTAATCCAAATTCCAACCTTCTCCCATATATTACGTTTATGTTAAAACTAGTATATATATATTGTTTTAGTTCCCATGCCAACTGGCGACGAAGCCTTGTAATCGCGAACAATTTCGAAATCGATATCCTCAAATTTGGGACTTTACACGGCATGTAGATCTCGCAAAAGTGAGCAGTATTTTCTAGTAACATATACACCAAAGTCTTAAGATTACCGCAAAATAAATCAAACCTAAACAAAACCTAATCCGGTCCTGCACCTCGACCAGATCAAACTTGAACACGTACGATGCGCATCAGTACTGAATCCAGTTGCTGACCACGTTGGTAAACAAAACCTTCATACATCGGTTGTATATAAAAAACAAAACAAAAATGGCACACTTGTATAGCAATATCGGAGCTGTCCACATTATTTTAATTAACGGTGAGTGTCTTCATGATGCTATTAAGGCTTCGCCAATGCATGCGAATCATTTTTCAAGATCCGACGTGATTCCTTTTCCTCTTTTGGGGCGAAATGAAATGTTTAGTGTATAAATCTGAGGTGAACACGGTTGACAAACTATGTGTGCGAATTTAGCAATCTGCTGCATTCCTTCTAAAAGGCTACACTGATGCAAACATGTCTTTGGATCCATCGCAGACAACCTTGAACAATACATACAAGCGACAGAGCTGTATTTGAAATTTCTTTTCGATGAACGGTTAGTACTTTTTCACTTATTTTTCTTTAACTATTAGGCTGTTGTTTTACCACACATTAGCTTTGTTATTACAAACGTAGTTGTTTCTGAAAACGAAAATCCTAACATTCAGGACACCCTGTATAACGTTTTTAGGCGTTATATGATATGTACAGCACGGAAAACTGTGTCACCCAGTTCCGTCGGTTCGCCCGTTTGTCTCTCCGCTAATTTTTGCTCCTGTGTAACTTGGAAAGCACTGGCCCCATTTTGATCACATTTTGACTATGTCAAGGATGAAAGAGTTTTGTTTTTGTCAATCCATCCAGTAATGACGTAGCTATAGGCAAAAGACATGGTCATAAAAATCGCTCTAACTTAATTTCTTGATGTGTCAGAGGCTGCTGGCCAATAACGAAAAAAGATGTAAACGAATAGAAAATGGCAGTTGGGAGTTATATAAGGTGGAGGAGGGTATATCTAAATTTTTTAGCGTAAGAATGTTTATAAGCTCTAAGATCACTTGCGAAGCATCCAAGATGTATCCAGCGTTACGTCAGTTACACGCGTCCTTAGTATCGAATAGAGTGTACATAGTAAGAATACCTACTTGGCGAATTCTTTTGGGATGCTTTTCGTATGCTAAATTAACCAAAAATCAACTCATGGTCGGGTACCAAGCATCTTAAAAAATAGCTGGAACAAATCGCTTCCAAGATATAGGACAAGAACTCAGCGGACCATTCTAGTGTTAACCTAATATATCTCAACTGGACCTGAAGACATCAGCTCTACACATATTACGTTCGGAGTTATGTTAGGTTGAGTTGACTTTGGGTTCGGCTGGGTAACTTTGCCTCGCCTTTTTTTTTTTTTTTGGTTAATTAATAAAACCCAATGATAAATGCTATCTAACAGTTGGTCCAAGCAAAACAGTTGTCTAGTCGTGTACAAATTTAGTCGGAACTTATTTTGCTTGATCACCTCACCAAATGAGAATCTAAGAGAGATGACGAAATTTACAATAGTACACACAGAGAGAGCCAAATAAACAAGATATCAAATGGATCACAATATATCGATTAAAAAGAACAAAACACACATGTGCTCCACCACTAGAGTGCGAGAAAGGATATTACAAAAAAAACTGTCGCAAAATAAAATTAGTTGGCGTTTACCATGGTATACGCTTTACATATATGTTTTACGCCTAAACTACACTTATCTGGGCGGAGGTCTT